GAGGGAAGCTCTCCCGTCCTCATTATTTGAATATAGTAAATAAAAAACTACAATGACAATTCGGTTAAATTAGGAGCCTTTAGCAAATTAACAAGTGGTAACATTAAGTTATGCATGGCTCTTCTTTGTGTCTTGGAACTTTCTCTCATACATCATGTGGTGGGGGTTCAGTATACTTGATGGGTTTTCTTGGCCTTTTTTTTGTTTAGGAGATTATATCCCATATATCATGATACTATAGTGAACGAAGGTGGTCTTTGGCTTGCACGTCAGTCCATAATAAATGCATTTCTTCTGCTGTAACTTTTAATTGATGAGTTATTAAATTTTGCCAGCTTCGGGACTTGGAGAGGGGTGTTGATATTCTTGTGGCAACTCCAGGACGATTGGTAGATTTACTGGAGAGGGCTAGGGTTTCACTGCAGATGATCAGGTATTTGGCTTTAGATGAGGCAGATCGAATGCTTGACATGGGGTTTGAGCCACAGATTAGAAAGATTGTGGAACAAATGGACATGCCTCCTCGGGGTGTAAGACAGACAATGCTATTCAGTGCCACCTTCCCAAAAGAGATACAGGTTGGTTAAACTACTTGTTAAGATTCTTCTTAGTTTTATCTTTTTCTTTATTTCTTGTATGTTGGTTCCCTTAGATTAATAGTTCTTGGGGGGTTTGGTACCTTGACTGGGTCAAAGCGTTACACTAAGTAAAAGTGCTTGTGTTGCATTCTAATTTTGGTTGAGATTATCCTGCTAACCATGCTGATTGCTTCATTTAGAAATTAGAATYCTTATTAATGGTTGGCCTTTTATGCTGGTTTTTTGACTTGTTTTTATGGTATATCTGGATAATGCATTATAAGGGAGTCCACTTGGGATGGTTCATGCCATTTGCTCGGTGCAGTGGTAAGATCTTGGGCTAACAAGCATGAGAACGTGGGTTCAAGTCTGAGAGCAGCCACTTTGTGCTAAAAAAATGTCGGATATTATGTCTCTGTCCAGTCTACCCATCCCAAGACCCCTGATCGCCTGGACCAGCATTGGGTAATGGCCTTTAACTTTAGTTGGTTTCATCACATGCAATGTGAGCTGTTGACAGCATTATTTAAGAAGATCTGATGCTTGTTGTTGGCTCTAACAAAGATGAGATGATGCCTGGAAAAAGCATGGAATGCAGTAGTGGAAGGATTTTGAAGTCATGTCTGGTGATGGAAGTTACCATCCTGGATAGAATTGACTGATGAAATGGAATATTTTCCACACCTAGAGTTGGAGAAAGCTTTTGATGATATTGACGATGCAGTTGATACTTATGGTTTATTATTTGATAGTTTGCTTTACGTTCATGCAAGGGCTGTAAGATGAAAGTCAAAGTGTTCATTCCAGTCATTTATCTGTTTCTTATGTTTTTGTTTTCTCATAATCTTCWCTCTTACATGGATGTTTCTGGCCCTTTGCATGAATAGTTTCTCTGCTTCAAACACCCAGTATTTTTCTTCCTATGAGAGGGATTTCACATAGGCTGTGTTTGATTCCATTTAAAAGGGATAAACAAGCAAAGTTTTGCTTGCGGAAGAGCCAAAAAACATTACTGATCTTTTATGGATCGGAAAAGTTTGTTCCCACTAATGGTGAAGCAAATAGAGCCTTGAGAAAAATACTGTTGCTGTTGATGTCAGCAGTATTGCAAAGTTAATCTGAATATATGATTGCGGTAATCTTGCTAAAGGATTCACATTTGRGCATTCACCCCTGTATTTATCTGACAGTTTCTTGTGGTTATTTGCAGAGATTGGCATCTGACTTTCTTTCACATTACATTTTTCTAGCTGTTGGAAGGGTTGGTTCAAGTACTGATTTGATTGTCCAAAGAGTGGAATTTGTACATGAGTCTGACAAGAGAAGCCACCTCATGGATCTTCTTCATGCACAGAGGGCAAATGGAACACATGGAAAGGTAGCACAAACGGCTACAGTTATAGTTTCCTGTTAATAGCTATTTACTCTGATTAGAAACTCTTCTTCTTTTAGTATATTTGGCTGTATGCTGATCATTCCTCCTGCTATTAATTTTGCAGCAAGCGCTGACTTTAGTTTTTGTGGAAACAAAGAAAGGAGCTGATTCATTGGAGCATTGGTTATGTATAAATGGTTTTCCTGCAACTACAATCCATGGTGATAGAACACAACAGGTAAGTTCAACTTATTGTTAGACAACATTATTTGGACAACTTTTTTTTTTTATTTTGATAAGCAACGATCACATTTTAATTTTATTATTATAAATAGAAATATGTACGAAGTGTAAAAACACCTTTTAGAGAGGATAGCTGGTGGCTATGCTCTCTGAAAGGTGATGGCTAATGCATCAACCATGTTAGCTGATGGCTAATGCATATGTACAAAGAACTGGTTTGTAGCCACCCCTTGTTAGCTGATGGCTAATGCATCAACCGTGCCATTAGATGATCTTGGTAACCGTTGCATTTTTACTTGCATATTTMTAGTCAGCCATCTAAATTTCTTGTTTTCATTTTTGTATATCCATAAAGATTGCTCATAGCTCATCAACCATCTAACTATCACTTAAGAATCTCTCAATCTCCTTCAATGACAGTTTTGCTTATCTTCATATCACATGCCTGCTGCACACCTTGTATCACCACCATAAACTCAGCCTCAATAGAATCTCCCACTCCAATGCCTTAAGAAAATTGCATTTACATTTTCTCCAACTTTCAGACATGTTTTTATTTCACCATTTTGAGTCTTGCTTAGGATTCAAGTCATCCTACAGTTTATTTTCTACTGGTATATGCTTTGGTGGTTGTGATTGTTATGACAAAGGCATGTGGACATCATAAGATTAGGTAGTTCTATTATTTGACTGGTTTAGGTTGCCTAGAGAAGTTTCTGACAATTAAGATGRATACTAGAAGAGATACAGTACAATGGATGGGCTGGTGTTAAAATATGCCCATGTCCTATGGCTATGGCGGTGYGAGTACATTCAATTTCCTAATAAAAAGGGAATTGRATTGGTTGTGAGTGATTTAAATAGCCCCATGTTTGATTTTGTTTATTTAATTCAGGAAACCACAAAATTCTGAGGGGGTTAGGAAGCAATTGAGAGAGAATAAGCTGTTGACTGCATTTTAAGTATGTAGAATAGATTATTTGGTGATTGGGTTGAATGTGTTATTTAGAGGGATATCATTTGATTCTTTGAGCATAATGTTTGGCAACTGGGAATTGCTGTTAAAGCAAAATGGGCAGGTAGAAAGGTGTTTGACCAAGGCATGGTGAGAAGGATTTCTCTAAGGTCCAACGTTCAGAAAAACTGAACATTATCTTGGTTGGGTTGATTTGAATAAAACATGTGGGGTAGAGTTCCATCAGATAATTTTTAGATTATTTGCCCCTMTTGGGCTCGTACTGTCTATACAATGTTTTKYACATTATTTAAACAATCCTGAGAAAATTAGGACAACTAAGAATTGACACTATCGGGAAAATGTGGATAATATGATCCTTGTTTGTCACCGATTTGGAATATATGGTAGTGTAAATTTCATTATCCATATTACTCTCAATTGTTCTTCCTCATCGTGGACTACATGGTTCAAAGTATCTACTACTTTCCATACAGAATTGAGAGTTTTCTTGAGCAAAACTCTCTTTTTTTTAATCGTTTTTGAATAATCCTGACAGTAGTTTTCATCATATAAAAGGGTTAAATCTCATAACTCCTTTAAAATGGCATATGTATACTTTGAACGTTGTGCGAGTTTAATAAATAACAAAGGGAGACTTGATTAACATTTTGTTACAGTAAGGACATTGTTTGAGCGCTATCGCATGGAATATTGTTTACCATCCAATAGCCAATACATTGATAAAGTGATTAACATTTTTGTTTGGGGTATTTGCAGGAAAGAGAACAAGCGTTGAGGTCGTTCAAGAGTGGTGTCACCCCTATCCTGGTGGCAACAGATGTGGCAGCACGTGGTCTAGATATACCTCATGTTGCACACGTGGTCAACTTCGATCTCCCCAATGACATTGATGACTATGTACACCGGATAGGACGAACAGGACGGGCTGGTAAGACGGGACTGGCTACGGCCTTCTTCAATGAGAACAATTCCTCATTGGCAAGGGCCCTGGCTGAGCTGATGCAGGAGTCAAACCAGGAAGTGCCTGCTTGGCTTTCTCGTTATGCCGCCCGGTCTTCCTATGGAGGGGGGAGGAACCGGCGTACTGGTGGAGGTCGTTTTGGTGGTAGAGACTTCCGCAGGGACGCACCTTTCAGTAGGGGTGGCAGTGGCGCAGATTACTACAGCGGAGGCGGCAACAGCAGCGGTGGTGGATATGGTAGTTCCCCTGGTGGTGGATATGGGGGTGCCTATACCAGTGCGTGGGACTAGTGCCCCAAAATTTCATAGGACTTGTGTTATCTAAATATAATTTTCAGATGTGCACATCTACACCTATTTCTTCTTTTTCTACCGTAATTTATAGGTCTTAAGGTTATTCTTTTTGTCTTTGTAGTGTCAAAGTTCCTCTTGGTTCTCCCACTGTTGGAAGTGATTTTTTTTTTTTTTTACTTTTGGATTGTTATGGAGGGGACTGTAGGGTTTGTAG